CAGAATCCCCCAGCCAGCAGAGCTGGCTGGGGGATTCTGGGAGTTGAAGTCCACAGGACTTAAAGTCGCCAAGGTTGAGAAACACTGTTCTAGGTGTTTCATTACGCAAACTAGGTAATGTCATGCCATTATGAACGTGTCACCTAGTTGGGTAATGAAACATCTGCAAAAAAGCCACAAGCCCACCAAGTTCTCTCTCTCCTCCTCCTCTTTGCAAATCCCCATCCTTTCTAGCCCTGATGACGTTACCTAGTTGGGTAATGAAAGGTCTGCAAGAAAACCACCAAGCTCAGAGAGCACCAAGGACCCCCCCCCCTCCTGTCAACCCTGAGCTACAACTCTCTTCCTTTGTTGGAGCCAAATGTCTCCCTGAGTAAACCCGAGGTAGGCATAGCACGATTGTGCCGCGCCAGTGGCTTTAAAATTGCCCAAGATGCTCGAGCCCAGGAGACAAACACACACCAGACTCCATTTAGGCCCTTTAATCTGTCCTAGACAGTTTGCCGAGACACAAATGATAAAACATTTTTGCATTTTTACAGCAAGGGATGGGGGGGGGGGGAACCAAGAAAAAGCCTACAGAAATGTATAAGGAAGTTAAATTTTTGTACATGGGTAAAACGTTATAAATTCAGGGCGGGGAAATACATGGACACAGGGTCAACTCCCACATTTCTTGTTGCTTTTTAAAAAGTTCTTATGCGCGGCGGCCACAGGCAGTCGATTGGCTGTTTTCTTTGTGGAGGGGAGCCCCCGGAGGAGCCCCCCGGGGACTGTGGCGTGTCTTGGAATGTCCTCGGAAGGCTCTGTCATTTCAAGGTGACCCAATTAAAACCCCAGAGTCCTTTCGGATGCAAAGGAACGCGCACGCCGCCTCAGTCGTCAAACTTGATCTTTTTCCCTTGTGGTTTGTGGTCACCGCCTCCTCCTCGGCCTCCCCTGAAGCCGCCTCCTCTGCCTGGAAGGACGAAGGAAGGAAGGAAGGAAGAAAGGAGGGCGGGTTAAATTTTGGCAAAACTTCAAAGCTACGGGTGGTGCTCGAATCAGGACCACGATTGGGACCAAGATTTCTGTTGCTGAGCAAAGTGGGTGTTAAAGAGAATTGTGACCCATTAGAATGTAGATTAGACCAGAAAGAACAGAACAAATAGAAATATAATAGAAATGAAAGAACAGAAAGCATAGAGTATGAATAGAATAGAAGCGAAATAGAACAGAAAGCATAAATAGAATGAAAAGAAATAGAAAGAACAGGAGAAACAGAACAGAAAGCATAGAACAGAACAAATAGAAAGAATAGAACAGGAAGAATAGAACAGGATGACCAGAAAAGAACAGATCGTAAGAGAAATGAAAGAATGGAAACGAAAGCATAGAACACAAAAAACAGAAAATAGAAATAGAGAAGAATAGTATGTTGAATATTCTTTATGGGCCTCGATTGGACACACAAGGAATTTGTCTCCAGTGAAGAAGCTCTCAGTGTAGATACAAACAAGTGATATAATCATAAGAGACCAGTAGGAAGAAAATTAATAGGAAAGATGAGAAGGATAACAACACGGCTCTACTACACGAGTAGATATCCTTAGGGAGAGGGGTAAGGCAAGAGCTGTGGGAATTAGGTGTTCCAGCAGTGACGGCTCCAAGGGAAAAAAACTCTCCCCGTGTCTAGTTGTTGTGGTGTGAGGTGCGTACAGCGGAGGAGTCCAGAGGGGAGGAGCTGAAAGAGTTTTATGTCCTGAGTGCGAGGGGATCTGTAGATATTTTCTCTGCCCTCCTTTTGTCCTCGGTGGAAGGCAGGCGATTGCAATTTTTTTTTTCTCCCTGCAGTCCTAACTATCCGTTGAATCTAACAGCCACGGTTGTTAAGTGGGTCACTGCAATTGTTAAAGTGAATCATGAAGTCTATTAAAGTGAATACAACTTCCCCCGTGGAGCTTGTTGGAGGGCAGCTGGGGGAGGTCGCAAATGGTGGCCACTAACCCAGGACGCTGCAACGGTCGTAAACACAGGCCGGCAACCAAACCACCCAATTTTGATCATGTGATCACGGGGATGGTGCGACAGTTGGGAAGTGCGAGGACTGGTTGTCCGTCGTTCTTTTCGGGACCGCTGTAACTTCAAACGGTCGCTAAATGAATGAATACATGTCGAGGGTAGCTACGTATCACTGAATCGCGCAAGAGTGAAGGATACTCACCTCCGAAGCCTCTGCCTCCTCCCCGGCCCCCGAAGCCTCCTCTGCCGCCACGTCCGCCTCTGCTGCCCCGGCCGAAGCCTCCTCCTCCGCCGCCTCCCCCGCGGGGAGTGGCCCCCTTGGGCTTGGCAAAATCGAGGGTCACTTTGTTTCCATCGATCTCTCCGTCCTCCATGGCTTCCTTGGCTGCTTTGGCATCTTCGGTGGAGCTGAAGTCCACAAAGCCAAAGCTGAGAGAGAGAGAGAGAGAGAGAGAGAGAGAGGGTCAAGTCAGGGCAGGAAACACACACACACACACACATCCCTGGGAGGGGCAAGTTGTTGTTGTTCTTCTTCAATTGTTGTCCTGAAGGCCAGGAACCCATGGAGACCAACTAGAACAGCAGTGCGACTACAGGTAATCCTCGTTTTACGGCCACAACTGAGCCCAGCATTTCTATTGTGAAATATTTCAGTGAGTTTTCCCTCATTTTATGACCTTAGTGCTTTTAGTAACACGGCTATGAAAGGAATCTGGCTTCCCCATTGATTCTGCTTGTCGGACGGTCACAAAAGGGGACCGTATGAGGCCGGGAGATTGAAACCGTCATAAATGAGTCGGTGGCCAAGGATCCGAATTTTGATCACCTGTTCTTGGGGTTGTTGCAATGGTCTTAAGTGTGAAAAAAATGGTCACAAGTCACTTTTTTCAGTACCATTGTTAACTTCAAATGGACACTAAATGAAACGTTAAGTCGAGGATTTCCTGTACGGGGAAGTCCTGGACTTGACAACGGGTCCATATTTCTGACCGTCACAGTGTCCTGGAGTCACGTGATCCCCTTTTGAGACCTTCTGACAAGGAAAGTCAACGGGGCAACCAGAAATCATTTAACAAACGGTATTATTCACTTAACAACCGCAGCAGTGATTCACTTACAAAACGGGGCAAGCAAAGTCGTAAAATGGGTCAAACCAAATTTCTCACTTAAAGGCAACATAAAGGTTGGGCTCGATTGCGGCCATTAAGTCGAGGACTACCTGTAACCGAGTTCTCCCCAGAAAGGAATCACCGGGGGGAGGTGGGAGCTTTATTGGAGCTGAGGGGCCCAGCCAGACCCAGGGATTGTGGGCCAAAATCCCTAAGAGTTTCCCTCCTGCCAAGCTGTGCATTGTCCCGCAGCCATGACAGTCAATTCACCCAAAGGAGTTGGAGAGACTCGGGGGGGTGTCAGGGCTGGGGGGTTTACTCTTCTTCTCGTGCGAATCCATGGCCTGCCACTGAGTACACGGCAGGACGGAGCTCATTGAGAAGGAAAAGCCGTTTCTGGCTTTTAAGTCGGAATGGAGAAGAGAGCCTCTTGGTTGAGGGCAGCTAGCGGTTGGCGTCACGTGTCCCCCGCCCGCCTCGCGTGTCCCGCTGCACCTACCCTTTGGAGGAGCCGGTGTCCCTGTCGGTCACTATTCTGGCCCCGATGCAGCTGTCGAAGGATTCTCTCAATGTCTCTTCGGTGGTTTCCTCTGACAGCCCTTTGACAAACAGGGTTTTGCTTTGCTCTGAATGACAGGAAGAAATGCCGGGAATCAGTACTGGTGAAAGGAAGGGAAAAGGAGCCCTGGGCCAAGGCCCCATCGGAGCCCAGTTTAGAGGAGAGGCTGGGAGCGGGAATGTCCGATGGGGATGGAACGTCTCCTCTGGCATGTCACACTATCAAAAAGATGCTGAGACTCTGTAAAAGGAGTGCAGAGAGGAGCAACCAGGACAATGAGGGGACTGGAGGCTAAAAGCCAAGGTGGCGCAGTGGTTAAATGCAGCACTGCAGGCTACTGCTAGATCAGCAGGTCAGCGGTTCAAATCTCACCGGCTCAGGGTTGAC